TGCTTCCTCAGGGACCTGAGCGAGAACTTCATCCAGGCCATTCCCAGGAAAGCTTTCCGTGGGGCCACCGACCTCAAGAACCTGTGAGTGACATAAGGGTGGCCAGGATTTGCATGGAGGGAGGCAGAGATGGCTGAGCGCTCCCTGCCCCGGCTCTCCCAGCAATGCGCCCTCCTCCTTTTCCCTGCAGGCAACTGGACAAGAACCAGATCAGCTGCATCGAGGAGGGGGCCTTCCGCGCCCTGCGGGGGCTGGAGGTCCTGTAAGTGGGCAAGGCTGGGAGGTCCTGCCAGCTCCGCACAGGGATGGGTGCGCTCAGGTGCTCCGCACACACGCAGGTGCTGCAGGGACATCCGCATGGCATCGTCTCTCCCAGCTGGGTCTGGCACCAGGCACTGCCTGGGATGAGCCTCTTCTCCCAGCTCCAGGGCTCGATCCCGCCCCGGGGTCTGCTTGACTGTATAGGAGGAAAAGCTTGCAAGTGGCAGCAGCACCTGCCTGGGCACTTGGTCCATCCCCGTTCCTCTCCTCTCCATCCAGCCCTGCTTGGGGCGGGTGCTGTTGCTTCCTGGGCTTTGGCACTGTCCAGATGGAGTCACGCTCCCTTTTGTGGTCTGGCTGCCCTGACCTGTCTCCCTCTGCCTCCATACAGGACCCTGAACAACAACAACATCACTTCCATCCCCGTGTCCAGCTTCAACCACATGCCCAAGCTGAGGACATTGTGAGTGCCAGTGGGGTGCGATGGGACCCCGAGGGCTGGAGCGGGATGCCCCAGATCTGGATGTCCCAGCAACCCCCTACTTCCCATATGCCGACTGTTCAGTAGTGCCCTGGCAGCATCGTGGGGAGGGAGGGGGCACAACTCTGCAGGCTGGCAAAGGAGGATCAGACCCATCCCCTGAGCAGTGCCAAACAAGATGGGCTTGGCAACCCATACGGAGGCTCTTGGGCTCCCCATGGCCCCTTCTCCAGAGCAACATGGCCCTCTACTCCCTTTGTGGCACCCCTCAATGTGCCCAGTGGGTTTGGGGCAGCCAGAAAGCAGGAGGGGGTGGGCAACCCATCCCATGGCCCCTGACTGCCCCGTCCGCCCGCAGCCGC